CCTTTAATAGCTCATTACGTATTTTTTTACCTATGTATGGAAATTTTGGTTTGAATTAGTGAACTACTGCGAATTTGTATACCGGACATACAAACAAACAAACATACAAACATTCATTTTTATATATATAGAAGAATATAACTAATATATATATCCTTATTTAATTAAAAAGGCATATATTGAATCAAAATATAATTTATTTTTACCAATATTTCAGTTGGCTGAACGCCAACCTTTATCAAGGTGTTATAACATTTTAAAGTGTGTCAACAACAAACTCAGCGCCACATAACGTCAACAGCATTAAGTTTTTTAAAAAATTTATGTAGCGCTGAGTTTGTTGTTGACACACTTTAAAATGTTATAACACCTTGATAAAGGTTGGCGTTCAGCCAACTGAAATATTGGTAAAATAAATGATATTTTGATACAATATATGTCTTTTTAATTAAAGATTTATTTATGGATTGCTCTCTTTTCAAAATATCCTTTTATATATATTTAATAGGCCAAAGTAGAATATTTCTCTTTTCACAGTAAAAACAAAAAGATAACATTGTTGTTTTTATTATGTGTTGTACAAAACATTAACAACTTTACCTAATGAAATATCAATCGATGGGTGCAGGGGAAGGTGGAACGGCCGTGTCCCTACCTGGGCCACCTATAAATACTGCGACGCCTCCACAAATAGCCGGCCGAGTAAACAAACTGCACGGGATTCTTTTGTCCTAGGAGTGTGTTTGGCCGCCTTTTTGAGGCAAATATCTTCAAATATCGTCGCTTTTAAAATATATACATATTAAATATCCATATAAACATATTACATATACATTTATATACATGAAAAAATAAAAGATAAAAAAGTCAGGTGTTGAAATCAAAAATAAAAATGGCATATCCTGACCAGGAGCACATGTGCTTTACAGAAGGCAGAGCTCCATCTGGTGGAACAAAAATCAACTAAACATTGATTTATCCTGTTCCCTGATATTTGGCCAACCCAATTTCTTGATAAATCAAGAAAAGCCATCCACGAACGCGTTTCGCGCTTTTGGCGCTCGTCAGCGTGGAGTAGTATATATATACATATAACATATATATATATACAGGGTGCGGCCATTCTTTGAGAACAAAATGATGTCCATGGAAAAAATGAATCGACAAATGAAAAAGAGCAGTTATTACATATCAAAGTTTTATATAGATGAAAACACATGTCTAAAAGAGACATAATTCAATGAATCCGCAATTAGGAGCATAAACAGCTTCTATACGCTGTCGAAATCGACTGCAGGCAGTAATGAGATGAATCTTGGGAGTTTTTGCCATTGCATCCACTATAGAAGCTCTGAGAGCTGCAACAGTGTTGTGGGAATGACTATTGGAGTCCCTCTCAACTACGCCCCACACGTAATAGTCCAGCGGATTGACATCTGGTGAGCTAGGGACCAAACGTTAGGTGTGACATGGTCTTGAAGATTCTCGGCCATCCATTCTTAGGTGGTTCTGACACGTGCGACAGTAGCGATCCAAGGCTTGACAACTGTAGCTAACATCTATGTGTAAGCAACAGCATTGACTCTGGCACCTGGAGTAAAAAATATGGAGGCATCACATCACCTTCACTACTAACAACACCAAGAACCATCAATGATGCTGGAAATTTGGCATGCATGTCCGTAGATACCCCATCAGGGTTTTTACAGAAACACCTATCATTTTTGCGGTTCACCTTCTGGTCCTGAGCAAAGCTCTTTTCGTCTGAGAAAAACCAGATCATTCCAAGCTCCTCAGCATGGTTTAGTTGTTCAGAAGGCGCTTGGCTCTGGTCAAGCGGTTCATCTTGGTCTTTCAGACATGAACTGTCCTCTTCGCATCACGTATGATTTGTAACGGAGGTCCTCATGAACCACACGTCGGATGGTACCCTCATCAACCTGCAGCTCTCTAGTGAGTATCCTCATCGACTTCCCAGGGTCTTCATCAATATCAGCTTGAACACGGCTTATAAAGTCTAGCGTCCTGATACTGTCAGAATGTCGACAATGTCGTTTTCTTTGGGAAACTTCCGCCACATCATTCTTTGCAGCTCCCAATTCTCTCCGAACTTTGAAAACAAAATGATCGGACGACTTTCAAGAATGCAACAGTTTCTGAATAGGTGTGTCCTGCAGCCAAGGAGACATTACTGAATGCCTCTTCATTTCTTGTGTAAGAGTAGGTTCTGTCATGTCTACCTGCAACAGAAAACAACCATGTCACTATAACATACAGGAAAGTGTGGCACATATATTGTGTGTTCTAAAATAGCTGCCGTACCCTGTAGATGGAAATTTTACCAGAAGGAAATTGAGCTATAAAAATAAAGAGTGCCTTTCCCGTCAAAATAGACTAAAAAAACTAAGCGCTAACTGTTGACCGTCTCCACAAACTAACGGACTCAGATCGTTGACAAAGCCACGACTCCAGCTTTGGAAAACTTAGAAGCGTCCACCTAGAGATCGTAGTTTCAGGCTAATGGCCTTCGTCAACTAGGGCGGACTTCATTCCATGAGATCTACAAGGGATATAATGAAATCTCCACAATCTGCCAAAGATGTGTTTAGCTGTTAGAGTGTCTAAGTTAAATCTATGGCCAATATATTTGGAAATTTTGCTGGTAGGAAATTGATCTCTTTTTTTTTTTGCTTATCCCTAGTACACGTGGTACAGGCCATGATAATCATGGTGGGTAGAAGTAGGCGACTGCTTTTACTGTAAGTGCACCACATATCTACACATATGAAAAACAGTTCGACTTTGCACTTACAAATGTACCAGAGCCCCGTTTGGTTAACTTGTACTCGCTGGTGTGGGGTGGGACTTTTGCAAGAATCGGGGACCATTGGAGCATTTTTTTTTAAACATAAAAAAGTGCCCAATGCGGGAATCGAACCCGGGTCGTAGCGGCCGAAAACCAACGGTTTAGACCATCCTTCCACCGACTCCCAAATCGATCTCTAAAAAATAAAGGTAGCCACTCCAGTAAAAATAGACGCTAACACTCTAAGTGTTCTATCTATAATACATACATATATCTAACATTCACTTTTTATTACAATACTATATTATCTATATATATAAAAATGAATGTATGTGTGTGTGTGTGTGTGTGTGCGTGTGTGTCTGTCCTTTATGCCTGACCAAACCACTCATTGGAACGCCATGAAACTTTGGGAAGTTATTTAGTATAGTACTGGGAAGGTTTCTAGCAAATAAAATTTTTGAAATAACTTTTCGCCTAGAAATAATCAAGATAAATATTATAATTTATCTGTTATAATTCAACAATCTGCTCTAAATATTATCATGATGATACGATGATTTTGTAATGTAGAAAATTAGGAAAGACAAAATTCAGGATGACACGGCAATTTATTTAAGACAAGAATAATGATACAATTCCAAGGCAAGATACTATTCCTTTAACTTCCAATTACCGAGGGAACCAATTAATATTGATTCTATTCAACTTATCGAGTATTTTTCAAGGGACCGGGGAAAAAATGTTCACTTTATCGAGAGATTCGTTAAACAAACCTTTACTCGGGTAAAACCCGGGCGAAGCCGGGTACATCCATACAAGAATAATGATACAATTCCAAGGCAAGATACTATTCCTTTAACTTCCAATTACCGAGGGAACCAATTAATATTGATTTTATTCAACTTATCGAGTATTTTTCAAGGGACCGGGAAAAAATGTTCACTTTATCGAGAGATTCGTTAGACAAACCTTTACTCGGGTAAAACCCGGGCGAAGCCGGGTACGTCCGCTAGTAATTAATAAAAACCAATAATAAGATATTTGACCAATTCTGGAATAATTGAAAATCAACGATCAGTTAATATTTATTCCGATAGATGGCGGAAGCCATCAGCAACTTTTATTTGCACAATCAGGAGATGCCTTTTTCTTAATTTATCCACCTGATCCCAGTACAATTTCATTTTTGTTTATTTTTCACTATATTATAAATCAAATATATACGGGGTGTCTCAAAATACACTTTCTACAATTTCAAATTTCAATAACATAACTTTTAATTGAGATTCAATTGAATTAATTGTAGTATAAATATAATGATGCCCTAACTCTGAAGGTATTTTTGTCAGTATATTTCAGATAACAGGAATTTAGAATATATTGAATTCTGCATAAGAAAAGATACAATGGGCGATTTAATCAATTTTATCTTAATAATGATTTTTTTATTATCATCATCATTGTATCATCATTACTTTTTTCTTCAAACTGATGGACAAATTGACGTTAGTATGATAATGTATGATAACAATATGCCTGACGAGGACAAAAGATTTTTGTCGAAACATCGAGGTAATAAAAAATTTACTGGCCGAAGTATCTTTATTTTCAACTATGAATGCCGGCCAGGCAGCCTCGATCTTTACTATAATATGCCCTTAGTTTGAATCCAGAAAATACATTCATGGACAAAAGGAAGTTGTACCTTTTAGCATGTATATAGGGATTCAGATAATAACTCACGATTTGAAATTATTCTATCATATCAACAACAACAACAAAAAGCCTTTATTTAGGGTCACTGACCCTATACAGGATTCACCAGAGGTATGCATTAGTTTATTCTATCATATCAATTATCACCAAAGAATTCTTTCAATTCCCGGTTATATGAGCAGAGCAACCTAATGCAATACTTGTAGCGGTATTGTAGAATAAACTGGCGAAACACGTATGTATGGGTTCACCACTGATGAGCCAGGCCATTCCAAATCTTTTGCATTGGAGTAAAATTTCTCCGAAAAACCTTTTTTAAAAATCTTTTAAAATGTGTACGATTTTTACAATAAAAAACGATTCTCTCTCTCTATAATCGCCTTCCAAATCAATCTACTTATATAATTGCCTTATTCTGTCTGTATGAAGTTCACTGTCTGAAGTTCACGGATAGATTTTGGTCAGTCATCAATTCTGTCATCGTTTTAAAAAAAATCGAACCAGGGACCTTTAGATCTTCAGTCTAACGCTCTCCCAACTGAGCTATTTTGGCTTATTTTAGTTATTTCTATAGAAGTTCACTGTCTGAAGTTCACGGATAGATTTTGGTCAGTCATCAATTCTGTCATCGTTTTAAAAAATCAAAATATTAAAAAAAGATGCCGAAACCCGGGATCGAACCTGGGACCTTTAGATCTTCAGTCTAACGCTCTCCCAACTGAGCTATTTTGGCTTATTTTAGTTATTTCTATAGAAGCTTCTATCTTTATAATTATGCATATTATATAATTGCCTTATTCTGTCTGTGTGAAGTTCACTGTGTGAAATTCACGGATAGATTTTGGTCAGAATGGATAAAATAAAAAAAGTGTCAAGGGATGGGAATCGAACCCACGACCTTCCGCTTACCGGGCAGATGCCATGACCACTAGGCTACCCTGGACATATTTTTCCGTTCATATAAAGTACAATACTTAAATGAAAATATGTTTCTTATACAATCAAAAATTAGAAAATAAACTTTTAAATTGGTAACATCAAGGAGATAGCCATTATAAAGCACTAATATTTTAATATAAAAAAAATTGTATAAACGAATAGTATTTTAATTAAAACATTTTAAAAACACACAGTTTGGAACGGGACGTTTCACAAGAGTGACATCCATGGCGCCAATTTATAATTGTAACGAATAGTATTTGAATTAAAACGTTTTTAAAATATATACGCAATCGGGTAAAACCCGGGCGTTGCCCGGGCCATTCGTCTAGTATATAATAAGATTTGATCCACAAACTGGTATATATAACTTGGTAGTAATATATTTAACCTTACTCCTGTGTAGAAGGGCTCCAAGGCCCGAAAGCTCGAGTCATTTAAATGATAATATGTTTGCAAGAAATTCTTCTCCGGATTGAATTTTTTCCTCTCAAGTAATTCTGCCACAGCTAAGACGCCAGCAAAATGTATTTATTTGTATTAGCTTTCATGTAATCACTTATTTAATATTCAAAATTTTCTGTGGAATCTTGTAAGAATATACACAAGGTAGTTTTAAAAAGTGAATTTTTATTTTCAAATTTACACTATAGTTGTGTTTGGAAGGATTGTTGAAAGAGTGGAATTGGCCAAGAAATGGTGAGTGCTCCTTACACAAATTCCTTTGACGTCTTGAGAGTTGTTCAAACAGCGCTCTGCTTCCTCATTCTTTGTCTGGAGGAGCCGTCAAAAAGGCGCTGTAAGAAAACTCTTGCACCTTCCATTTCTGACAGCCAAGATCCGGAATCGAATCCCGCATTGTATACTTTTTCCTAAATAAAATTTTGATTCAACGGCTTCCCTATCTTAAAGATGTCTAACTCCACCAGTAAGAGAGTGCTAGTAACTAAAAGAGGTCCTGACACATTTGTAAGTTGTTGTTGTCGTGTCCAATGAAGAGCCTCAGATGTCTCCATGCATCTCTATCACAGCAGCAGTAATGTTTACTATCAATTGGAAAATGGGTGCCGTTGCCACGTTAGTCACCTTGGAAACGAACCATAATTCGGTCGAATATTCCAAAAGTCCAGGGGGGACCGCAGGGAGGTGTGGTCAGACTTCTTCCACCCCCACACTTGTATGTGAAAAAGGTGAACTGCTTTCCACATTGGTCGACATGTGGTGAAACTGACAGTAAAAGCAGTTGTTAACTACCCATCATTATGATCATGGCCTGTACAACGTGTATTTGGTTTTGAATATAATTTGTTGGTTGTAAGTTTGTTTGGAAGAAATATAGATCCATCAGCTAATTTTTTTATCTAATTCCCGACGTTTCACTCTCCTCAAGAGAATTAGACAGCGAGTCACTAAAAGGTCGAGAATTCGGCGTGCGGCGGTTCTCCAGATGTATACAGCATCGATACTTTGAATGTGAATACACGAAGAATTAAAGAAGCTATGGAAGCATCAATAATCGTCGACCCGTATTTTAGCTTCAGTCCAGCCAACTACGTTCTCAACCGCGACAAGCCGGAAATACTTCGTATTTTAAACAAGATGAAATACACAAGGTAATTGTGCCTTATAAAGATGAAATACGAAATTTACAAGTACACCTATCCCCCGATTTACACGGTAGATACGTTCCTGAGAAAAACGTGTAAATCGAGGGTTAGGTGTATATTAAACTGTCAAATCTGAATAGGTGTTCGCCCCCTCATGAATCAGAGCCTCCCAATATTCTTTTCAACATAGGTAGTATAGAGTAGAATATCGCATTTTAGTATAGTACGATAAAAACAAAAAAAAACTTATTTGGAAAACCGTGTAAAAGCGAAAACGTATAAAACAGGTACCGTGTAAATCGGGGGATAGGTGTATTTTATAGATATCGATTTTAATTGTACTCACTCCCCCAATAACAATAGAACTGTAACGACGTTTTTGACTGTCGGGATTTAAATGAATAATTGGTTGATGTAGCCACTTGGGATATCTACCTCCTATTTCTGCAGCACTGCGGCCTCTGACATGTAGCAGCTGATGTAGAGAACATGGGCCCATATGATAGCTTCACTAGACACTGCCTTTTTTATCCTTAGTACACGTGGTACAGGCCATAATATTCATGGTGGTTAAAGGTAGGCGACTGCTTTTACTGTAAGTGCACCACATGTCTACACATGTGAAAAGCATCGTAAAGATAGAGGTTGCCTGGCCCGAATTAATAGTTCTTAAAATTAAAGATACTTCGGCCAGAAAATATTTTTATTGAATCTATTATATTGAGATAATAAAGATATTGAGACAATAAAAAAGATTTACTGGCCGAAGTATCTTTAATTTGAAAAAATGTGAAAATCATTTCGACTTTGTTCGACTGGAGCAGCACGAGGCGGTGGTCCGAGAGGTGGTAGTGGCTGTTCGCGTAAGTGGACACACGATCCAGGGCTCCAGCAGGGACGAGGATCCGGTCCAGGCGGCTGGACTCGACTTGGTCGCCGTGCCTGGCGACTCTGGTGGGCAGGTGGGCGGCGTCGAACTGGGTGGCCACGTCGACCAGCGCGGCCAGGCCCAGAAGAGCGGCGAGGGCATCCGCGGAGGACGATGATGATGATGAAGAGCCCCGATCCCTGATGTTGAAGTCGCCGATGATCCAGCAGGCCCCCTCCTCCTCCTGTGCCGCTGTCGCCGCGAGGAGCTCTAGTTGTTGGTTCCTCTCGCGGGCTTCGTGAGCCAGATGAACGTTGATTGCCGTCATCTCCTCGCCGTGGACATCTATGGTTGCCAAGGCAATGTGGCCCGGCCACAGAATCCGCTGTTGTAACACGTCTACGCCTGGCCCGAAGACGCAGGCGAGTCCGGAACCCGAGATGGCTACGGGATGGGCTAATACAACAGCGTTGTAGCTGAAGCAGAGGTCTTGGCCGCTGCCCAGATGATATGCGTTTGTCTCTTGGACAAACGCGATGTCCACTTGATGTTGCTTGAGGAGATGACATAGGGCAAGGCTCCTCCCCCGAGTGGCGAGCCCTCGCGCGTTGATGCTGGCGACGCGGTAGTTCATTGGGGCCGTCCTTCAAGCAGCACCTTGGTGTTCCGGAGGGTCTTGTAGACGGTGCTGTTGGAGCCGGGGCACGTATCCAAGACTATATAAGTGTTGGATGGTCTCACCTAGAAATATAATTTCTCCAGGAACCCGGGTTACTACAATCTCGACCAATTGATGGCGGTGGTTCTATATGGCTCAGGATTGTTCCAAAGATCTTGTTGGAAGGTTCAGACACAATCAAGAGAGCGGAAAGTAGCGCTTGTGTTGTTTTATACTCAATGTATGTTGCGTGAATGGCTTGATGTGAACTTGATATATTTCAGGTGTCCACTCTTGAAATTGTATATATTTATACACACAAATACAGTAGAACCTCCATGAGAGGACACTCTAAATGACAGTTTTCACTTGCAAATTTCCATTTTTACCATTTAGAAACTCTCCTGTAAGAGGACACCTCTCCCTAAAGGATATTTTTGCTCTGCAATTAGGTGTTTTTTTCAGGGAGGTTCTACTGTATATATATATATAATTGTCCCTATCTGATAATAAATTTTTGTAATACTATTTTTAAATCTCTTATAGCTTTAATCTTAGGGGGAAGGCACGAAAAAAATTCCCCATATTTCCAACTTTTGTTTTTATAAATTAAAACTTGTGTTATGTCATAGTTCTCTAACATGGTAATTTTATCAATATTGTCAATTTTAATATAAAAATGTTACAGATATTTTTTTAAATAGAAGTTAAAGCAATATCATGTCAAGGTAAAAAAAACTTTATAATCTATAAAAGTTAGAGAAACCTGGTCCAAAGTTTGCAGAGAATTTTAATTAAGTCTTCGCCAAGTTTGAAGAGATCAAGTTCATAATCCCAGAGCACGGGCGATTTTTTAAAATTTAATCTCTGTCATGGAGCCCTAGATTGACCCATATTCTATTGAATAGACAATAGCAGCGGCTAGGTATTCTCAAATGGTTCAATTAATGGAAGATTATACCATCAGATAAGATGTACAATTATTTTTCACATTTTCTATTTGCTGTAACATTTTCTGAAATCTACTATCGAACATGTGAACATACTTTGTATGTAAATTTGCAATGATGCATTACATAGATATAAAGGGGGTCGGTAGAAGGATGGTCTAAACGGTTGGTTTTCCTCAAATTATGTCCACTGTCTGGCAGAGATCCCTTTCCTGACTGATTTTATCGAATCAAGACTGATTAAATATGAATTGGACCAACTAAGTGAAGAAGACCAACGAACATTCAGTCCACATTCTCCTTCAATAATGAATGATTTTTTGAAAACAAGAATGATAAATATGTTTTCTAATACTACTGCTCACTTTCGTCTCTTTTTCCCTTCAGGCATCCCAAAATATTTCTGCCCTGATTATTGCAATGTGCAATTCGTTACAAACCATGGAAACTTCGGAGATTTTCTGTTTCGAATAGGAGCTATAGATTATCCAGGGTGTGGAGAGAGAAGGCAGGGTTCCAGTCACCTGCTTA